TGTGAAGTCCATTTCTGGTGTCCCCGCCGTGATATTGAAGGAATATTGCTGAAATCGGCGTTAAACCACACTCACTCTCATCTATTCTCTCTCTTTCTCACAATGTAGAAGTCAATATACCCTAATTACGCTGCGACAATGTCTCAATTCTAAAATATGATAGCCTGGAAATAGGTAGATGAACCATAGTACCCCTTTAACTGAAAGTATGCCTTTATATACTTATGTTGAGAAGCGACAGTTTGATAATGACAAATTCACCTTTACTTTTTGCAGCAAAAATGGATCGAGTAATCAAGTTGATGGTGTGTCATCAGACTCAACGTATTGGATCGATGCTCACAATATATCAAGAACCATCTTTGTCGCAATGCATATTTTAGAAAAGACAATAAGTTCATCTTGAAGGCAACATCTCTATCTGTCTCTTGCCCAACATATTGAGAGTCTAACAATCTGTCTTAACCAACTTCTGAAGTTTATGATAGTTCTTGGTGTATCCCTGCATGTAAGTTTGGTGGAATAATAATACTGCATTCCCTTTAAAGTAAAGTCTTTGCTTAGTGTAAGAAGCAACTAAAATCGATCGGGTAGTCAGGCCCGGTGGCTTGGTTGACCGGTGTCATCGTAGCCCAACGAAGAAGTACTGCTCCAAATAGCAACTGCTGGTAACTCTGACTAGAATTAGAGACTGAACATTTGGTATTCTGGGAGGTTGGGGGTGGAACTGGGATTTCCAAAATTATTTCAGGCTCACTAAAAAATATGTGGTCTCAATACAAAATCAAACCAGCACCCCACCCCCCTTCCAGGTGGCACATTGTTGCCATTAAATAACATTCACTTATTGAAACGTTTCCCATCTAAACGGACAGTAATGGCCGTCACGATATAGGATCTGAATTTATCAACTCTGAATGATTAAATCAGCGAGAACTGTGCACATCTAATCAGTATTGTGCGTGACACTGCCTCGAGTATTTAGCCAAGGGTAATAAAGTAGTTCGACATGCCTTCAAACTTCTTCTAGATTAAGAATAAAGTTTCGGGTAATGCGAAAAATCAGTATTCAAATGCAGCTAAATGTTTAATCGTGATGTATTTATTGACTTATACAGAGAATCGTACCCAACATCAAAGGGACATTTATAACATACACGTATGTCGCTAAAAAACCTTGAGATGAAAACGTCACGTTTACTTAATCCGTGTATTTCATTATATTCCTCGCCTTGCGTGTAAACTACAGAATACAAATTATTTGAGGCGTGGCAGACACAGCATTTGTTTTTTTTACAATTCCAATTACAATTACAAACATCCAGGGTCACCAACTCCATTTTGATATACATTGAATTTGATGTCGTTTTTTAACAACTTTTTCTTCTATGATTTTCTTCAAATTCTTTGGATCTAAATGAATTGATTATTCTTCGCCGGAAATGGACCCTTAAAAGTGCAAGTAATATAATTTTTCTTGATGATTTTATTTCAAATAACAGCTTGCAGTATTTAGGGATTTAATCACCTTCAATGCTGATTGATCAGAAAAGTGTCCAAAACAAATTCAAGGCTTCAAAAATCTCAACAGTGAGAGGGAACATCTGCCAAGAGAGAGTATCGAAAATCTATTCATATTCGAAAAAAGGTATGTGTTTTTAGAAGACACACTTTCATTTACCTCATCCTCACTTTGAGAAAAAATGTCGAAGGAGATTAAATAATCAATTTCATGTGTTCTTATTTGCGATTTAGAAAGACAGTTTCCCCAATGTGTAGGTTGATACTGAAAGCAATACCATGTGTGATATTTGGAACTGTCCGCGACAGATCATCTTGGTGCTAGTGTCAGTGTCATCTCGTAACTCCTTCCTCTGGCACTAAGCCAAGACATAGTTCAACTATCAACGGAGGTATTTAACCACTTAAACATCATGGAAAGCACAATTCTACCATCACTGGATACATATCTAGAACAGTGGAAGCACAGCTGAGGCATAAATAGAAGCATGGTTTAACCATAACAGGAAATACTGATTATCAACATGCAGAATGACAATCTAACTAGTGTACAGGCAATAAGTAGAAACAGTGTAACCATCAATGAAAGCAAAGCTTTACCATCAATATAGGCATAGATATACCATCAGTGAAAGCACAGTTTTACCATCAATATAGGCATAGATATACCATCAGTGGAAGCACAGTTTTACTATCAATATAGGCATAGATATACCATCAGTGAAAGCACAGTTTTACCATCAATATAGGCATAGATATACCATCAGTGAAAGCACAGTTTTACCATCAATAGAAGCATAGATATACCATCAGTGAAAGCACAGTTTTACCATCAATATAGACATAGATATACCATCAGTGAAAGCACAGTTTTACCATCAATATAGGCATAGATATACCAGCAGTGGAAGCACAGTTTTACTATCAATATAGGCATAGGTATACCATCAGTGAAAGCACAGTTTTACCATCAATATAGGCATAGGTATACCATCAGTGGAAGCACAGTTTTACCATCAATAGAAGCATAGGTATACCATCAGTGGAAGCACAGTTTTACCATCAATAGAAGCATAGGTATACCATCAGTGGAAGCACAGTTTTACCATCAATATAGGCATAGATATACCATCAGTGAAAGCACAGTTTTACCATCAATATAGGCATAGATATACCATCAGTGAAAGCACAGTTTTACCATCAATAGGAGCATAGATATACCATCAGTGGAAGCACAGTTTTACCATCAAAATAGGCATAGATATACCATCAGTGAAAGCACAGTTTTACCATCAATAGAAGCATAGATATACCATCAGTGAAAGCACAGTTTTACCATCAATATAGACATAGATATACCATCAGTGAAAGCACAGTTTTACTATCAATATAGGCATAGATATACCAGCAATGGAAGCACAGTTTTACCATCAATATAGGCATAGATATACCATCAGTGGAAGCACAGTTTTACCATCAATAGAAGCATAGATATACCATCAGTGGAAGCACAGTTTTACTATCAATATAGGCATATGTATACCATCAGTGGAAGCACAGTTTTACCATCAATATAGACATAGATATACCATCAGTGAAAGCACAGTTTTACCATCAATATAGGCATAGATATACCATCAGTGGAAGCACAGTTTTACCATCAATAGAAGCATAGATATACCATCAGTGGAAGCACAGTTTTACTATCAATATAGGCATAGATATACCATCAGTTGAAGCACAGTTTTACTATCAATATAGGCATAGATATACCATCAGTGAAAGCACAGTTTTACTATCAATATAGGCATATGTATACCATCAGCGAAAGCACAGTTTTACCATCAATATAGGCATAGGTATACCATCAGTGGAAGCACAGTTTTACCATCAATAGAAGCATAGATATACCAGCAATGGAAGCACAGTTGTACCATCAATAGAAGCATAGATATACCATCAGTGAAAGCACAGTTTTACCATCAATATAGGCATAGATATACCAGCAATGGAAGCACAGTTTTACCATCAATAGAAGCATAGATATACCAGCAATGGAAGCACAGTTTTACCATCAATAGAAGCATAGATATACCATCAGTGGAAGCACAGTTTTACCATCAATAGAAGCATAGATATACCATCAGTGAAAGCACAGTTTTACCATCAATAGAAGCATAGATATACCATCAGTGGAAGCACAGTTTTACCATCAAAATAGGCATAGATATACCATCAGTGGAAGCACAGTTTTACTATCAATATAGGCATATGTATACCATCAGTGGAAGCACAGTTTTACCATCAATATAGGCATAGATATACCATCAGTGGAAGCACAGTTTTACCATCAATAGAAGCATAGGTATACCATCAGTGGAAGCACAGTTTTACCATCAATAGAAGCATAGATATACCATCAGTGGAAGCACAGTTTTACCATCAATAGAAGCATAGATATACCATCAGTGGAAGCACAGTTTTACCATCAATATAGGCATAGATATACCATCAGTGAAAGCACAGTTTTACCATCAATAGAAGCACAGATATACCATCAGTGGAAGCACAGTTTTACCATCAAAATAGGCATAGATATACCATCAGTGGAAGCACAGTTTTACTATCAATATAGGCATAGATATACCATCAGTGGAAGCACAGTTTTACTATCAATATAGGCATAGATATACCATCAGTGGAAGCACAGTTTTACTATCAATATAGGCATATGTATACCATCAGTGGAAGCACAGTTTTACCATCAATAGAAGCATAGATATACCATCAGTGGAAGCACAGTTTTACTATCAATATAGGCATAGGTATACCATTAGTGAAAGAACAGTTTTAGTATCAATGGAATCACAGATATACCATCAGTGAAACCATTAGTAGTAGCATGCTTTAACCATCAGTGGAATCACTGTTGAACCATCAGTGGACTCCCAGTTTAACCATAAGTGGAGGCATAGCTTAACAATCAGTACAGGCAATGGAAAATAGTGTAACCATAAGGCGAAGCACAGCTTATACATTAGCTGAAACGCAGTGAGAGGAAGCCCACTTTAACCTGCAGTGGAAACACAACTTAACCATCAGTGGAAACACAACTTAACCTTCAGTGGAAGCACAACTTAACCATTAGTGAAATGACAGCTGAACCAATAGTGGAAACACAGCTAAACCATCTGTGGAGACTTAAGTTATTATGTGTATCCATGTCATTATTACGGGGTAGCTTGGTCGTAATTACGACTTTGTCGTTATCCAATACCTAAGCAGTAATTCCGGGATAATTATGTCGACATTACGAGATGTAAGTGATATATGATTGCATGATTCAAATTAAACAACATTTTTTTTAACAGCAATGTCATGAATATACTTGATTTCCTTATCTTAATCTCAATTTAAACGAAAAAGAAATTTACCTTCATTTGCACAGGGTGTATAATTGTTTCTTTTCTCATTTTCAGCAACAGGAACTGTCGAAAGAACAACTTGATGGTAAGATCACCAGCCAATATATTTTCACGGTTCCATGTCGAGTGAACCTATTTTTGTAAGACCTCGTATTAAAGTATTTTTTCCAACATTTTCTGGGTTTTTGCACAAAGGTTTTTATAAAATGTTTGAGTAAATGCAATTTCCTTATCGAAGATTTCCGTCACATCGTAGTAATCAGCGCCACATAACAATAGTGGTGCAGCTGCACTGCGATCTACTATTCACTGGGAACACAAATGATAAAAGTAATCAAAACTCAAGCGATAAAGTGGCTATTTCTAGTGAAAGTGAAAGCTGTCTCTAACACAAGCCCTTCTGTCTAGTTACCACGTGGAAAGTGTTAATAAAACCATTTCTCGGTGAAAATAGTCACTGCCAGTCTCCCAAGGGAGGAAATCTCGTGTTATGGATGATACCTCAAAGTTCGTGTCTCACATATTCCTGTTTTCTCATTGTAGCTAACCACATTAGGTGATTACGATGACTGTGTACTGTTTATGTATGTAATGAATAGATTTCGCAAAGAATAGGCGACCACGGATATCACTCCCACGTGCACGGGGCACTTAGTCATCAAGTCATCTGTGAGATTTACTTCAGTTGTATATAACTGTCCAAAGGCCGTTCCGAAATCAGTTCCTCGGTGATGTAGTCTATGGATAGAGCGTCTGCCCCGAGTGCAGAGAGTCGGTGGTTCGATCCACTGGCAACGTTTCAGAAAATGGTAACTCAACTCAACAGTCATTTCAAAGTCTTTGCTTGACCATTTCATCTGTCATAGTCATCTAAAACTGTTTGACAACCACGATCAACTCATATATACTCTCGTCATTTCAAAGTAAGTGATTGACAACCCTGTCCCTTTGAATCATCTAAAAGTAAGTTTGTTTGTTTGTTATTTAACACCACACTCATCAATATTACAGCTAAATGACCGCCGTCTGTAAACAATCGAGTCGGGTCCGGACAATCCAGTGATTGAAATCATGCGCGTGTATAAGCAAGTGTATAAGCCATATCAAAGTAAGTGCTTGACAACCATAAGCGTACTAGTAATCTTAAACTACGTGCTGGAAAACCATGTGTGTGCTGGTTATCACAAGGCAACTGCAGGACATCCACGAGTGTATAAGTCACATGAAAGTAAGTTCTGGACAACCACGAGTGTATTAGTCACATCAAAGTAAGTTCTGGACAAGCACGAGTGTATTCGTCACATCAAAGTAAGTTCTGGACAAGCACGAGTGCATTAGTCACATCAAAGTAAGTTCTGGACAACCACGAATGTATTAGTCACATCAAAGTAAGTTCTGGACAAGCACGAGTGTATTAGTCACATCAAAGTAAGTTCTGGACAAGCACGAGTGTATTAGTCACATCAAGTACGTACTGGACAATCACGAGTGTATTTATCACATCAAAGTAAGTTCTGGACAACCACGAGTGTATTAGTCACATCAAGTACGTACTGGACAATCACGAGTGTATTAGTCACATCAAGTACGTACTGGACAATCTTGAGTGTTTTAGTCACATCAAAGTAAGTTCTGGACAACCACGAGTGTATTAGTCACAGCAAGTACGTACTGGACAATCACGAGTGTATTAGTCACATCAAAGTACGTACTGGACAATCACGAGTGTATTAGTCACATCAAAGTAAGTTCTGGACAATCACGAGTGTATTAGTCACATCAAAGTACGTACTGGACAATCACGAGTGTATTAGTCACATCAAAGTAAGTTCTGGACAACCACGATTGTATTAGTCACAGCAAGTACGTACTGGACAATCACGAGTGTATTAGTCACATCAAGTACGTACTGGACAATCACGAGTGTATTAGTCACATCAAAGTAAGTTCTGGACAATCACGAGTGTATTAGTCACATCAAAGTACGTACTGGACAATCACGAGTGTATTAGTCACATCAAAGTAAGTTCTGGACAATCACGAGTGTATTAGTCACATCAAGTACGTACTGGACAATCACGAGTGTATTAGTCACATCAAAGTAAGTTCTGGACAATCACGAGTGTATTAGTCACATCAAGTACGTACTGGACAATCACGAGTGTATTAGTCACATCAAAGTAAGTTCTGGACAACCACGAGTGTATTAGTCACATCAAATACGTACTGGACAATCACGAGTGTATTAGTCACATCAAGTCCGAAATGGACAATCACGAGTGTATTAGTCACATCAAAGTAAGTACTGGACAATCACGAGTGTATTAGTCACATCAAGTACGTACTGGACAATCACAAGTGTATTAGTCACATCAAGTACGTACTGGACAATCACGAGTGTATTAGTCACATGGAAGTAAGTCCTGGACAACCACGAGTGTATATGTCACATCAAGTACGTACTGGACAATCACGAGTGTATTAGTCACATCAAAGTACGTACTAGACAATCACGAGTGTATAAGTCACATCAAGTACGTACTGGACAACCACGAGTGTATTAGTCACATCAAGTACGTACTGGACAAACACGAGTGTATTAGTCACATCAAGTACGTACTGGACAATCACGAGTGTATTAGTCACATCAAAGTAAGTTCTGGACAATCACGAGTGTATTAGTCACATCAAAGTACGTACTGGACAATCACGAGTGTATTAGTCACATCAAAGTAAGGTCTGGACAATCACGAGTGTATTAGTCACATCAAGTACCTACTGGACAATCACGAGTGTATTAGTCACATCAAAGTAAGTTCTGGACAATCACGAGTGTATTAGTCACATCAAGTACGTACTGGACAATCACGAGTGTATTAGTCACATCAAAGTAAGTTCTGGACAACCACGAGTGTATTAGTCACATGGAAGTAAGTCCTGGACAACCACGAGTGTATATGTCACATCAAGTACGTACTGGACAATCACGAGTGTATTAGTCACATCAAGTACGTACTAGACAATCACGAGTGTATAAGTCACATCAAGTACGTACTGGACAACCACGAGTGTATTAGTCACATCAAGTACGTACTGGACAACCACGATTGTATTAGTCACATCAAGTACGTACTGGACAAAAACGAGTGTATTAGTCACATCAAGTACCTACTGGACAATCACGAGTGTATTAGTCACATCAAAGTAAGTTCTGGACAATCACGAGTGTATTAGTCACATCAAGTACGTACTGGACAATCACGAGTGTATTAGTCACATCAAAGTAAGTTCTGGACAACCACGAGTGTATTAGTCACATCAAATACGTACTGGACAATCACGAGTGTATTAGTCACATCAAGTACGAACTGGACAATCACGAGTGTATTAGTCACATCAAAGTAAGTACTGGACAATCACGAGTGTATTAGTCACATCAAGTACGTACTGGACAATCACGAGTGTATTAGTCACATGGAAGTAAGTCCTGGACAACCACGAGTGTATATGTCACATCAAGTACGTACTGGACAATCACGAGTGTATTAGTCACATAAAGTACGTACTAGACAATCACGAGTGTATAAGTCACATCAAGTACGTACTGGACAACCACGAGTGTATTAGTCACGTGGAAGTAAGTTCTGGACAATCACGAGTGTATTAGTCACATGGAAGTAAGTCCTGGACAACCACGAGTGTATATGTCACATCAAGTACGTACTGGACAACCACGAGTGTATTAGTCACATAAAGGTAAGTACTGGACAATCACGAGTGTATTAGTCACATCAAGTACGTACTGGACAAACACGAGTGTATTAGTCACGTGGAAGTAAGTTCTGGACAATCACGAGTGTATTAGTCACATGGAAGTAAGTCCTGGACAACCACGAGTGTATATGTCACATCAAGTACGTACTGGACAACCACGAGTGTATTAGTCACATAAAGGTAAGTACTGGACAACCACGAGTGTATTAGTCACATCAAAGTAAGTTCTGGACAATCACGAGTGTATTAGTCACATCAAGTACGTACTGGAAAATCACGAGTGTATTAGTCACGTGGAAGTAAGTTCTGGACAAACACGAGTGTATTAGTCACATCAAGTACGTACTGGACAATCACGAGTGTATTAATCTCATCAAGTACGTACTGGACAATCACGAGTGTATTAGTCACATCAAAGTAAGTGCTGGACAACCACGAGTGTATTAGTCACATCAAAGTACGTACTGGACAATCACGAGTGTATTAATCACATCAAGTACGTACTGGACAAGCAGGAGTGTATTAGTCACATCAAGTACGTACTGGACAATCACGAGTGTATTAGTCACATGGAAGTAAGTGCTGGACAATCACGAGTTCATTAGTCACATCAAGTACGTACTGGACAAGCACGAGTGTATTAGTCACATCAAAGTACGTACTGGACAATCACGAGTGTATTAGTCATATGGAAGTAAGTTCTGGACAACCATGAATGTATTAGTCACATCAAAGTACGTACTGGACAAGCACGAGTGTATTAATCACATCAAAGTACGTACTGGACAATCACGAGTGTATTAGTCACATAAAGGTAACTTCTGGACAACCACGAGTGTATCAGTCACATAAAAGTAGGTTCTGGACAACCACGAGTGTATTAGTCACATAAAGGTAACTTCTGGACAACCACGAGTGTATTAGTCACATAATTTAAGTTCTGGACAACCACGAGTGTATTAGTCACATTAAAGTAAGTTCTGGACAACCACGAGTGTATTAGTCACATAATTTAAGTTCTGGACAACCACGAGTGTATTAGTCACATCAAAGTAAGTTCTGGACAACCACGAGTGTATTAGTCACATCAAAGTAAGTCCTGGACAATGTTGAGTGTATCAGCCATCGCAATTTATGAAAGCGACAAAACCCTTTACATATTCATAAGAAATCTCTGCCAAAGGCAAAGTCGTTTGTACGATTTCGACTCGTGTTCGCGAAAAGGTGAGCGTATCCTGCCCCACCGGTGGCACCCATCACAAAAACACATACAAAGACAAGTAAATTGTTCACATGAACGCCTCGATGGTC